AGTGAAATTCGGGTCCGCGAGAGCAGTGATTTGCGCGCGTCCGTTGACGATGAGGGAGCTGAAATGGAGGAGGAGGAGGGACGCGGACTCTGCTGGCTTGAAAACGAAAGGTCACAGATTTAGCCTTAACATGGCCAAGGAATCAGATATCTTTCTCTAGGTCCCCAAAGTCATGACACCAGCCTTATTATTATTAGCGTACCGTATTAGCGATGCCTTATTATTATTAGCGTACCGTATTAGCGATGCTGCAAAGCGTACATTTAATTAGCGAGGGCTGAGAAAGAACCTCTCACTCCCTGAAGTCGGCGGGTTTTCTTTCCGATTTCACGAGGGGCAGGACGAAGGTCAGAATCGTTATCCTGCTGCTGCTTGTTGTGAAAAAGCCATGATTTTGTGCCGCTTCTGGGGCTTGCGGCTTATTCTTGTCAGCAGCCTGCGATGTCTCAGGCTCTGCCCAGAGCTAGTACAGAGTCATTATGCAATTTCATCTCATGAATCAAGTCCTTGAGCAACAAACGTTCCTATCCAATGGAGTTTGAAACGCAGCAGCTGATAAACAAAGAAGCCCGCAACCAAAGCATAGAACGGTTTAAGATGAATGCCCTCCTTTTACATTTTTCTGATAGAGAAAGTAAATTAAATAGTGATGTGATAAAGTAGCTGGCAGAACCAACCACTTAAGCTCCTGAAACAGCACCACAGAAATGGATACATGGAGACTTGGGGTTAGTTAAGAGATGTCCGTAAGGTTGTACATCAGATCAATAGTGGAAGGAGGAGAAGACCAACCATCTGCTGACTGCATTTGAGAACTTTATGGCCTGAAGGAGGAGAAGACCAACCATCTGCTGACTGCATTTGAGAACTTTATGGCCTGATTCCCATATAAACATCGCAGTCATCAGCCGGGATCAAACAGCTTTTTAACACAATGGCAACCTACATGGCACCTGAATGCTTGCAGGCCTCATACTCCAGCTGAGCTTACCAAAGATGAACGCGATAACCCGAGGTGTTATTTGTGACCGCATCTCCCCTTGTGCTTCAATCTGGCAAATATTGCCACTTTTCAGATTATATACACTAGACCCGGGGTGTAAACTAGTTGCATCTCTGTGATATCACTGTGGACAGCAGCAATCTCAGTTGTAAATTAATTAGGTACCTTCTCAGCCCTGGTGTTTGTTGGAGCCCCAGTTTATCCTCTGAGAATCTGACGTTTCTTCTTTTTGTGAAAGAGCCAGAACAGGAAGGCTTGAAAGAGGTGCAGTGCTGGGGACTTAGAAAACCCTGTTGTGCAGTCCTTGGGTCCCAGCGAACTCTCACGGGGAAAGCCGAGTGTGCGGCAATGACCTCAGTAGTGCGCACAGCCCCAGTTTTCAGTGCCAGCATCAAGACCTGTAAAAATACAAAATGGCTTTTAAAATGTCTCTGTGCAACTTCGATGACCTCATCTGTCTTTCTTCATCATGCATCAATGGAATGCTACACTGATCCTGGAAATAACATATGGACACCGCGGACGAACAGGGAAGCTACAGTGATGCTTACAGTGTGCAATGAATGCGCATGCATTAGTTCACACCTTAAAGTACTGCTGTATTACCACAAACTGGCCCATTAACTTCAGCAAGGACTGAAGACCAGAATTTATCCTGTCTCTTTGCCCTGCATGATAACATTTGTTAAAGCATCTTTCACAACTAAAACACATAAAATAATTTTAAAAGAATCGCAGAATCACAGAGTGGCCAAGGTTGGAAGAGACTTCTGGAGATCTTCTAGTCCAACCAAGAGTCACCTACAGTGCATTGTCCAGGATTGTGTCCAGGTGGGTTTTGAATATCTCCAGGG